TACTATATTATTGTATGATTATTATATCATATAACTTAAAACTCGAACAAAAAGTTCAGGTAACTTCAATATAGAAACTAGAAAAAGTACTTGAAAGTCGAACAAATAATATTGTACTTGCATATATATCTTTTATTATATAAATGCAAATAATAAACTTTGTTAAATCTAGAAACTCAATGAAAATTACTGTAAAATTGAACTATTTATTGTTACGTGACAGAAAAAGTATGGGATTTGTGTCAGTTGAAATAGTAAGAAAACAAAGTTAATTTTACACTTTGACTGAAAATTCAAAAGTAATTTACTAACTTTAGAGCTGGTGAATTTAGCCCTAATGTTCTGATAGTAAGAATGATGAAATCAATACAATAATCTATAATAACCCGCACCTCACAACAAGTAAATTCCAAATTACCGTAATTTTTGTTTACCGGTAAATATTTTTAATAAAAACCGGTTATCGATAAATTTCTTAATAGAAAATTTTGTGTGCGATAATACAATTAACTATAAAATTTTAAGAAAATTTTAATATATTAACAACAAAAATATACATTTTTACTTAATAAAAAAGCAAAATTTATCATATATCATATATAATGATAATAAAAATATGCACACAGTAGTCAAATCGTACCTAAATCATTCAGACTTGTTCAAATTTTCGTTATTTTAACGACAGCTATACCATCTTCATACAATTACTAAAACAATGGTAGATTCAACAGATTGGTAAATCTCTTTATTTTTCAATATTTCTTATCAAAATTTACCGGTAATTTCGGTAATCATATTGACCGGTGGAACCGGAATGAATGGAAGCCCTAATTAGCAGACATAGATAAAAGTATTGATTTTAATTTTAGTCAAGAATCATTACAATACATTTTATAGCTAAAGTTATTTGTTACAGTTTGTTAATCATCACGTTTATGTCAGACTATACAAAAATAAGTCTACTTTATATTAGTAATCAAATACATTCAGAAAAGATTTTCCGTAATGTTCATTTTAGCAGCAAATAAATGAGTATCCCATAAAAACGCGACCCGCAATAAAGAATATCTTAAAGCACTTTTAAATTGCTTTAGTTGCCATTACTTTATTGCAGATTTGCAATCTAAAGGGGTTCATTGTTAAGTAACGTTCATGCATTTTGCAGTCTCGGGATAATGGATAAGTTGGCATTAGATAATGTAATGCAAAGAGGAACGCAAGGCTTGAGAATGATTTAAGGGTTAGACGCGCGAAGATGTTCCTGGGGTTTGCGCAATAATAATGGTTTACAATTACGCGTCACGTGACCCATAATTATCACTCAACGGTCGCTGCGTTATAGCCCTCGGGGGTGCCACTCGCTACGGCGAGCAACTGCACACACACACACATATATCCTGTATACATGTACATGGACGTATACATACACACCCCCTAGGAGCCCGCAGTTGCCCCCCTGCACGCAACTTGCCGTGAGCTCCTTTCTCCACATTAAACTTACACCCGCCGTTGTTTGCCAATAGAAAACAGTCACAATGTAATCGAATGTGTGTAGCGCAATTACATTGGAAACCAGAAGAGGTTAAATAATTCAATAGAGGACAAAAAATAGCATAAATGCTACGAAACAAATATTTTCCCTTTTTTAATCCATAAATTCGACTAAAAAGTAATAACACAACTTATCACATACAAAAAGTGTATATAAACTAATTTAAATACAAACGTTACTTATTTTGTTATTTTGATGATGATGATTGATGATGATGATGATTTTATATAATTGAAGAGATTCAGTACAAAATATATCAAATTTTAAACATTTTTAACACTAAAATTAATGATCACCATAAATTTTATGATATAATGATGATTTTATATATTTTATTTGAATATTTATTCAAAATTAATTAACACTGGTAATATTTCAGAATAAATTAATCTAATTGGATTTAGTTAAAATTATAATAAACAATTCTTAATGTAGAAAATGAAATATAAATACTTTTCACCATATATTTTTTTATGAATTTAACTGTTATTAAGTAACATAGAAAATTTGATGTAAATTCTGCTAATATTTGTATCGATTAATTCTAGAACTATTAGGTAATAATTTATTGATTTTGTATATTTATTTGAAAATTAAATGAAAATTAATGTCTTACTACACTTTTGTATTTTCTACATACATATTGTAAACAATATAATTACAATGTAAATTAAAAACAGCTGATATAATTAAATAACAATAATAATTATAAATAAATTTCAAGTATCAATTTCTTGATTTTGTATATTTATTTGAAGAATTACTAACAATAAATTACTAATTGTAACACTTTCGAAAAAACTAATCCAATTGAATTTAGTCAATAGTAAATTGTTATCTTTAATCTATGTCTAATATTCCATAAAACAAATTATATTTATGTGTCTATCAATATTATAAAATAATTTAAATAATAGATGTTCATTATTTGTTAGGCAAAAATAATAAATAAGATGCGTGTGTTGTTAAGATTATATTAAGAAATTATCTTCAAATTGTATTCCAAGTCTTGTTATTCGTTTACTAAATTTCCTTTAATAATATATAAGGGTTGATATGAATATTATATTATCTACGCAGTTATGAATTAATTGAAATACTACATAAGTTTTATTTTAATATCGCATTAGCGTGCGTCCATCAACGATGTTCTTTTTAATTTACATTTTCGCTTCACAAACAGTTGCGCAATGTGTGGTGTCACGGAAAATTAATTAAAAATTTGCATGTGCTTTCGGTAATTGTAGTTTTATCGGCTTGCTGTCGTACATAAACGTATGTATACAAGTATTTATTATATAAATGGATATATGTATATATACATACGTATATATGTATTTTGGTGTTCGCGGAATACGCTCGAATTTAATATAGAAGTCAAGATGGAGTTTCTTAATCAAATCAGACTCTATTACAAATTGTTGCGAACAGGGCGAGAACACTAAATGCATTTAGGATTCCGAGGGTGTAGAAACGCGATAGCGACCCTCCGCGCCATTCCCTTCAATTTGAGTCGTCTTCTCCTTCTCATCCTCATCCTCCTACAACTCCTCCTCTTTCCCAACCGGGGAGAAGCACCAAAGGAACAATCACTTACCTATTGTCTCTTCTCCTTGGAAATTCCGGATATCGACCGGGATTCTAATTTATTCATGCGACTCCTTTTCATTTTCTCCCGCCCGATGGATTAATAACCACTCCGGGGTTACACGAAAACCTTTCCATTTTACTCAATTAACGAAATTTGGATTGATTTCAAGTACTCGGAATACATAAAACTAATTTTCAATTACCATTTTAAATTTTAGATATTTAATACCTATTTCATCATAAACATATATATTTTATCAACTTACAATACATCATACATTTTTATATGCAAATACAATAGTTGTAATATAATTTATGCTTGTTATAAGGCTTTTCTTAATAGTATCAATTGTCAACAAATTTATAATCTTAATGTGTGAACGAATAAAGATGTAATTACTTTAATCCATGCTATATTATTCAAGTACAATTATATTTATTTCAAGTTAACAACATTCTTCCTTTAACCAAAATATGTTTATTTCAGATAAAATATATTTAGTCAATTGTTATAAACTGTTACATCACTACATAAACTTTTCATCTAAGATATAGTCAATAAATTTCATATACAACCATATCAAATATTCCTTCATAAGGATAATTAAGAAAACGTGATTCCAACGGCTCGTTGGTCTAGGGGTATGATTTTCGCTTCGGGTGCGAGAGGTCCCGGGTTCAAATCCCGGACGAGCCCAACCAATCTTTTTTGCAATTACAACATAACAAAAAAATATTATATGCTAAGTTATTTTTTAAAGTGGTATAAGTCAATATTTCATAAATCGAGATAATTAGGGGTTTGAGTTTTAATTAATTTAAAAATGTTAGCAAACGTTAATCAATTCGGGTGATGTAATTTCATTTTTGTGGACTTATAAGATTTTAACTTAAGTTAAATAAATAAAATAATTTACTTAAAATATTGGTTGTAGCATAAATGATTGTATTTACAAAGTGGGCCAATAAATATTCTTAAATATATAAATAATAGAAACTATTTAAATTAATTATTTTCTATTACCTAACGAATTCCGTTCGAATTAATTTGAAAAGGAAATTAATACTTATTAATAAGTAAATACTTACTGGTGTGATTTTTTCAATTGATAAATTAATATATGACTATTTTTAGTAATATAATTTGTAAATCTAGTTAATTCTGTATGTTATATTATATAATTCAATTTAGGTACTAAACCTGTTCAATTAATATTCAAGTTCGCTATTAATCTATGAATTAACAGAAGAAAATTAAGAAAATATTAATTGGTGTGGATGGTAATGAATGAGAATAAAGAAACGATTTAAATAACATTTTATTTTATTTAAATTACATGTGTTTGTAGTATATTGAAAGTGTGTATTTTATATTATTTTATTTATAATTAGTTTTTTTGTTGATAAAACATATATAGCTTATTTACAGGATTGGAATTAATTATCGATAAATAATAATTAACTATAGTACAAATCAGACATTCAGGGGGAGAAAGGTGGGTCCTTTACATTTTCATTAATATGATACAATTAATGTACAACATTTATCCTAAAAATAAAATAAAGAAAATTGTTACACATTATTTTTGGATTCGTTTCGTAATTAATTGCAGAGTGTCCAAAATAGATAGTAAAGTTTTTCTGTTCTGTCGTTGTTGTTTTATTCTGTTTCGGCATGTTGGTGTTGTTGCGCTGACGGCGGCGTAACATGACAGTTTGGGGGCGGTCGAGAGTGCTGAAACCGGAAACCGGAAACCGCCGACGACGCACTCTGGATGGCTGTCGCACTGCCACCCCTTCGTCGAACCAACTATGGCGAAGCAACCCCTCTACGCGAGTTAAAAACGAGGCTGTATTATTTTTTTTCTTCTTCCATTATTTATGCAAATGTCGTTCATTATCGCATCAGGCGTGCGGTTTCGAATTTTCAGCTTTCCCCGTAATCTCATTTGTATCGTCGTACCGCAGATGGGGTTACGCGATTTCCAAGAGCCCGGCGCATCCGCCGATAAATCAATTTGGAAATTTTTATATTCGGCGAAATCTGTTTCTCCTTCACGGAACGCGATGCGATTTCAATTCACAGTTCCCCAGGAACTTTGGTTAAAATCCGGGCTCTCAATCAGGAGTTGGCCTCGTTAATATTCCGGAAGCGTTTCCGCTCTGTTGTAAATAAAGATATGGCCGCCGTGCCGGGTCGGCTGCAGCCCTCCCTCAGGATATATCCCGAACCCCGGATCCCTCAGAACGAAACAATTTGTTCGCCCGGAAAGCGAACGAAGAAGAAGAAAAAAAGGTATACACACACATACAGAGAGAGATAGAAAAAGTAGATCCACGTCCTTGCCTGCATGTGGCAAAAATCTGACCGGAATGCTGTTGATATGTCTGTAGCTAAAATCTTTGGTCAAGTAGCATCGTAGAATTGATGGTGGTTAAACTTTTATATATATTTATAGCACGAGTATAATATTTATATTTATATATTTACATAGGGGAGGGAAAAACAAAAAAAAAACAATTGCACTAGGTATGAGAGAATAAAATTGCACATTCAACACCTTAATTTAAATATAAAATTAATTAAATTGGTATATCCGTTCTCTAGTCGGAATAAATTAATTTAGCACCATATTTAATATGGCCTCGCGTTTCATTTAGCAAAATCACAGAGAGTTATTTGTTAAACTTCTTTGGTTTACAATTTGGTTTTCTACTTGAGAGTCTCTAATTCCATGGGGGGTTTGAGAAGGTTGGAGGTCTCAGGATGGCCGCGGCGGCGACGGCGGCCGCAGCTCGCGATTCCGCATTGAAATGGATCAAGGACTGCGGCGTCCTGTGCTCGAGGTTGGAGATGTTCGGGATCTGCAGCTGCACCAGGGTCTGCTGCTCCGGCCGCAGATCTACTACGCTCGCCTCGTTTCTGCTGTCCGAAACCGGAAGCTGATGGTCAACACCAGCTCCGGGATTCTGGCACTATGTCACTATAGGTCTCAGCTCGGTGTGCTGGGTCTCCTTGTGTCTCCTCAAGTCAACTTTCCTCTGGAATGCTCTTCCGCACAGATCACATGCGAACGGCTTGAACCCAGTGTGCTTCCTGGAGTGAGTGATCAGGTTCGATGACTGACTGAACGCCTTTCCACATACTGTACACTTGTGTGGCTTTTCACCTAGAAACAAACAAGAAAACAATACATTATTAACCTGATTTTTGTTTATTCAAATTATTTTGTTTTAAAAGACAAATTAAGATTAAGATTAATTCATTCGTATCTTGGGTATTATTATATTGTAATCAGCGGAAACGATTTTAGCATCAGATAAAAATAAGCTAATATTATTTGTACCATAAAACGCAATTTCAACTTATAACAACATCTATCAAATATATTATCAACTATTTTACAGAATTAGCTTTTACCTGAACATTGACCAAATTCTAAATGTTAAAATGCAATAAATTTTAGATTAAATATTGTTTCTATTCTTCTTTCTTCACTTAGAATGAGTAAATCTAATGGTGTGAAGTAACTCATAATTAAAATATGATAAAAGAGTTTAATTACTTTCTAATAAAATCTTCTCAGTTTCATTATCATTTATTATATCCGATTTCGCCCTGTCTGCTTAATGCCTTTCTCTCTCATTTGATCTTTCCATCTCCGTCTCTTCTTTGCTTCCTCCTACCCTCGCTCCCCTCTCAAACCACTCGTCTTCCATCCCAAGAGGCCCGCGGTGAAGGTTCCTATAGCAACGTAAGGTGCGGGGGCGGATCTCATTCAACTTACGGGAACGAATCACGGTTTTGCGGCAAACTGATAGCAATCGATAATACTTTAACGTGGACTTATCTCCGATAACAAACAATGAGAGAAGGAAAATACAAAAAAAAAATATAGATGGAACTGGTTTTTGTGGACGCACAAAATCGTAATCGATAACTGCCGCAGTGATAGGATATTTTTTCGTAATTGTATTTTTTTTGTAAAATGAAAGTGAATAAAATAAACCGAACGAGTTCACCGCCATTTTGATGATCGTTTTATGGAGACGGCAAAGTTTTGTAAATAAATTCAGTATTGATTGCTAAGGAAAATTAAACGATGTCAGTGGAAAACTAAAAGGTTCTTTTCGCTCTCGGATCCGAATGTGTAGCATTCATGTAAGAGATTTTACGAGCGACGCTCTTTTACACCTCTCCGGTCCGTTATTTATCTGGCGTCGGGACGCTACATGCCCAGATTGCTAACCGTGTCCATATATAGATATAGTTTGTATAGATCACAGTCGCCGCTTGCTTCTTCAAACCTTTATTAAGGCGGCCCCCCGGGTCCTCTGTCCTCCGGCGATGCTCTAGTCGTCGACGCTCGCCGTTCTGACACTCTCGTGATTTCTGCGCGAATTCGTCCAATCAGCCATAAATTCCATCCCACAGGACGTCCTCTGATTCACGAAAGTATAAATATAACGAGACACGTTCCTCCTCTGCCGCACCGAAATTCTGGATAAACTAATAAAATGCTTCTCCCTTTGTTTCCACCAACTTTTTCCACATCTCTCTCTCACTAATATTTCACACAAGTTAAAATAAATATAAAGCAAAATCAAAATAAATAAATCCCTATTACAATTCAAATAAATTTATAAACTTAATTTTGTTTAATAAAATAAATAAATAATTATAAAAAAAAAATCTCCAATATTATATTTTAAGTGTATATTTTCAATCGTTTCGTTGAGAACACAATTATTTATTTTCCGATTTTATTTATTTATATACTTATAATTTTGTAACAGTTCTAATAATTGTTATTATTAGAATTTATTATTAGAATTATTATTTGAATCAATAACACTGTAGTATTCTCCATATTAAATAAATTCTTATCTTCGAAATTTCCTCTATTTTCAAACATAAAGAGATTTCATTGTGGTATTTTTATCATCTTTTATATGATTACGCTTTCAGATTAAATTGTTAGTTGTGAGCGCGTGTAAATTGTATGATAATAATCAAAACCAAAAAGTATCTTACATTATTATTCTATTCTGTAATTCTTCTATGTATAAATATTGAAAAATAATAAATATGAATTATTTCAATTTATATAGTTTTTTTGTATAATTATTGATTTGCAGGTATTTATGTTGTAAACAATTTTAAAACTTTATTATAATGTTTGTATTTATGGCATAATATAATACAATTTTATGAATACTGAAAACATGAATCAAATGGTTCAATATTAATTCGGGAAAGTGACCGTAAAAAACAAAACAGTAAAACAAAAAGAGCGAGAATATGAACCCTTAAAAAGCCGTGAAGGTGAACTTATGTAAGTGGTGGAATTTAAATTTTTATGCGAGTTCTTCAAGAGACGCCGGGCGGAAGATTTAAATACAAAATTTGTGGAACGATGTAATTTGTAGCGCGGGGAGCGCTCAGGATTTTAATAATTCAAAATATCGTTTCTTCTCTAGTTTTTATTGTTATTGGCGTTATTATTCGGTCCCGTTTGTTGGTTCTCTTCGTGATCGTTGCTTGTTGGGAAAATAGATGGAGAGCGTCGGCGGCGCAGGGACAACGGGAAATCATCTGTTTGAGTGCATTGCAATATCCACTTAAAAGTCTGGGAAATCTGCCGTCGGTATGGGCGAGGGGTGCCCCTTTACGGCAATAATCGTAAATTCTATTAAAACATAACCACGGCGCGAAATCTGCCGCCATTACGCGGATGGTTCCGCAGTCATCTGTTTTATATTATCCCGAAAGTTGGCAATTGGGTGGAGGGTTTGGATGTGCGGAACGGGTCGGGGGTGGCAGTTGAGGCGTTTGTTACTTTAAAAGCAGCCGGCATAAGGGTTGGAATCGACGAAATCTAGAGCGAGTGAGTTTGGCCCAATCTCACTGAGAGCTTCCCCAGAACCCATAATATTCAATTATTAAAGTGTATAGCTCATATAAGTCGTTTTTAAAGGAATGATTGCAGCATCGCGTCGCCTAATGTATTTTTGATTTTCCTTTATTTAGATATCATTGTTATGGAAGCGCCCATCTGTACAAGAGATTTATTGTTTTGGTTGGGGTGTATTTACGAGCCGGTGCTCTCTCTTCAGTTTTTTTATTTTCTTTTCTCTTTTTTGTTAGATATATAGATATGTGTTTGCTTTATCGGCTGGTGGTGGTGGCGGCGCGGAAGGCGGCGAATCAATCGCACGGAAAACTTAATGCGAAGTGCACATACTGGGATAGAGAGGACAACTATGTAAACTCCATCTCCCGATGGGGTGGTTTGGAAAGAAAATATTTAGCCAAAGGCCAATCTAAATTTGGCTTGGCTCAAGTGGCCGGAGTCTGATTGGTCGCGTATCGAGGACCTTTTCGGGGGATGCTCTCGAGTGTTTTAGTTCCAGGATTGCTCCGTATGCAATGTGGATTTTTGCCCCCGAACGAAAATACCAACAGCATTTCGACGGGTGCATTTATTTAATTGGGATTGCGATTTTGCCAATTGTGCAATCAGTTTTTGGCATAATTCGATTTGGCGAGGGATGTGATGTCTCTCTACCCCATCGGTCTGCGTGATTGGTTTCGTTTTACAAAACCACGCTACTTAAGCCAATTCGTCTCCTCTTCCTTCTCTCTTCTCTTTTTTTTTGTTACGCTTCTGATGTTCATCATGGGGGAGTCTCATTCCTCGTCTCTCTACATGTTATCTAGTTATCTATATGTATCTGCCGTGACGCGAGTAGCATGTGTCGTGATGTCGGCGTGCGGGGCCATTTGCTGCCTTAATTTTATTAGCACCCCCCATGCACCAACCCCTCTCGCATCTTCTGTTTATGGGCACAGCACTCCATCAAAAAGGCAAACGCTGTTCAGAAAAACACACACACGCTCTCTCGAACAACTGACCAAATTGGAAGCGGGTCTTTAAAAAAATAATCTTTGCCGCATGTTCAATCACTTGTTAGTTAATATTCTTAAACAAATACAGTATGTCTATACAATTTTCAATTGCTTTAAAATTGATCTCAATATTTTATTAGAAGAGCTATGTTTGCAGTAAATCTATATACACTGAAATTTATGAATATATGTCTTGAAATAGTTAATATTCTAAAATATTATTTCGCAGTATTTCTACATATTTATGTTATATTGAAAGTTTTATAAAACATTTACCAACTATTTTTTGTTAAATGTTTAACCTTAAATTTCAACAAACATGTAGATTGTTTTTTTTTATTTGTAGCTGTTAAAGGGGTGTATTAATAAAAATCTGGATTTAAAATTATTGATGATACCGATGAGTATGATTTTCCTCGTCGGAATGGAATGGCGGTGATGCGCGCGTCTGGACCTCCTCTCTCTACCCTTCAACGAGTGCCTTTGTGGCAGGCGCTGCTCTGGCAGCAACGGCACACAGGGTGAGAGAGATATTGGGGCACGCGAGGAATTTCAATTTGACTCTGAAATCCGGGAGCACATAGACTCCCTTAATGATCACTTTTGATTTATGGTCGTCCGCGTCCGCATTCTTTATCGCGCAATTAAAATTAACCCCCCAGTCCTGAGCTCGGCACTCTCATCCACCACTTATCCGGACCCTTTATTCCGGTAGGTGTTCGCACCGTTCTGGTCTTGAACAGGTTGCAAGGATTATCATCATCCATGGTACGAATCGCATTCAAAATAAAATAACTAATAACTGACTCATCCCATACGACCATGCACCATCCCATATCCTGCATCAATTCGCCAGTTGCACCGTTGGGAATTCGTCCCTCACGAATATAACAAAAACGGTGTCAGATTCCCCTTTTGTTTCTCACACTGTGTCCATCGTATTTCATCTTATTTTATATTCTATATTTTTTTAGACCTATATAATATATATAGAGAGATGCAGTATCCTGCGTCCGAGTTTATTGTCTGGGAATCTGCCGACGAGGGCCCTTTACAGATTCCCAGAAATTCATAAAAGCTCGCCCTAAATATCCTTATATGGGTGGCGGACATTCCACCCGAAGCTGGAAACTCGTCCTGCATAGTTCCAGGATTGCGGGGCCAGGACACTCAAGAATGTCTACGATTCCACCGGAATATTGGGTCCCACTAACCCCCCACTAAACCCGCTCATTACTATACGCCGCATGTTCTTGAGCTGAGTTAACAATCTAGTTAACAAATATCTCCGTCGCTGCTTTTTTCTAACTATCGCAATGAGATTTTACTTGCTTTAATGCAGATTTTTTTAAGAAAAAGTCAAAATCAAACAAATATTCATTATGTTACAAATATATGTCAAGCATACCAACTACTACCATTCATTTCAGTTTCAATTACCTCAATAATCAATAATAGTTAGTACTTCTGATACACTTATATGTCACATCTCACGCATTGTGTGTACGCATCTTTATATATTATTATATGGTTAGTTAATAATTAGTACAATATTATTTTGCCTATAGTCCCATATTCTTTTTTTTAACTATTTTCATATTATTATTTTTTTTTAAGTCAATATTCATTTAATTTATTCTTATGTCTAAGAATAAATTAAATTAACTAAATATAAAATTTGCAAATTATTAATATATTAAGAAATTTTTAATAAATTGTAAAAAAGAAATATTATCATTGTTTATGTTTGTATGAACTAATTACAATATCTTTATTGCTGCCCTTAATAAAATCTACTGCTTGAAATATGTCAATGCAACGCGGATTAAAAGCAGTAAAACTTTACGAAATTGATTAGATTAATTGATGTTTATTTAAAGATTAATCCAAATAAAAACAATAAAATAAGAATGTCAAGATCATGCGAACGTAATTGTAATTTATTAAAAAAATAAGTAATGTTGCCTAGTAATTTATTTAATAAAATTTATTAAATTTGTTTAAATGAAGCTTTTTGGTTTCGTTTTTAAGAGTGCAATGAAAGATTAGAAATATTATTGTGGGATTTCAATTGAAATCTTCTACGATTTATTTGATGGAAAGGAAAGAAAAGCGAGGGAGGGCTGGTATTAGATTTGGCAATAAATGGGAAGGCCATTAAAGAGCGACGACAATTAAAACCATTTAGGGATTATGAAATAATCGGAGTTGGGTTGGTGTGGATGAATTACCCAAAATAGTTATAAATCAGGGATGGTAGTGGTTTTAATAAACGTCGCGGTCGTTAGGCGTTATGGAGTCCGGAGCGTGAGAATAGAATTACAATTCAATACTAATATAATTATCATTATTGGCTTTGGTAATCCCCCTTTAGCATGGGGTGGCTTGATCCTATCTGTAACCTGACACCAGCGGCACTTTGAGAGGCGAGAGGGTGGCCGCGTGTCCCTCTAATGGACGAGGAGGATGCGAATAACCAAATAACTTTTTAACCGATTTCCCATCGAAGTTGGTGCGTTTTGGATGGAGGAAGAGGAGGAAAAGTGAAGAGAATGATGGAAGGAAGGAAAGAAAGAAACGAAGCTACGTGATGGCGCGATGTAATTATGGCGACATAAAAATCGGTCCCAGGACTCTGGAAAGAGATGAAACAGCGAAGGGTGGAAACAAATGAAAGTGCGAGCGCCCTTCGCGTAATTGGCCGGGGAGGTCTTAAAAAGTGACGCTCCGCATGCAGGGCTTTCGCAATTAACGGAAGACACGAGGTTTCGACCCAAAAGAAGTGTACACGTTGCAATCAAAATTACCCTTCGAGCGAAAATGCTAATTTTAAAAATGGGACTCTCGCTTTTTTTTCCTCCACGCTTCTTCTTTTCTTCCTCTAATTGCCTCCAAGTCTAATTATAAGAAACACAGTTGAGACGTTAATTGATTCCGTAACGCGGGATTAAAAAATGCGACCTACGTGATCCAACAAGGGACGAACGAACAAACGAAAAAAAAAAATAAGAATGAGAGAAGCAGAAGGCAATGGTGGAAGTGATACAAGAAGGGCCATCAATTGCTTTCCGTCGGTTTTCGTTTTTTTAGGTGTCTTTTTGAAGGCACGTATTTAATATTATTAAACGGACGGAGTGATGCGATAAATCAAAGGGTTCGGAGAGGAGGCGCTCAACCCTTTCAGAGGGCGTTAAGACGGCGGTAGCGTTATTAATTGCCGACGCGGCTTACCAGTGAATTATTTACTAATTAGACAAGGCGCAGGGCAATAACTCCTCCAACCTTGCGGTAAATACGCGCGCACACATACAACAACAAACACCCTCCCTTTTAGTGCTTAACTCAAGCTCAAGTGCTATTATCGCCCAAGAAACTTTCCGTTCCATCCCCAAAACCCATCCCTCCTGCTGCTCTTGCACCGCAAATCTCGAGCGAAAATCAAGCTTCTTTATGTAACTATGCGCAGCGAAATGGAATATCGAATTCGGTACTGACCTGTATGGATGTAGGTGTGCTTCTTCATGTCTGATTTCTGGTGGAAACGCTTTCCGCAGAACTGACAGGGATAGGGCCGAGTGTCGGAGTGTATGAGCAGGTGGGTCGATAGCGTCGAGGATCTCTTGAACGATTTCCCGCACTGTTTGCATTCGAAAACTTTTTCGACGTTGTGCACGGCCCTGTGAAAAGACACCGCAAAACTTAATTCCCCAAAGTGATACACAAACATATCGATCTTACATATACATAACGAACGAAACAAAATTACAAAACAAATAATAACCAAATACAGCAAAAAATAAATACTTTTTAAATCAGACATGCAAAAGTAACTTTCGTCTGTAAACTTGTTTCCAGTTTTATACATCAACAATTTAAAATTTAAACGAATATAAATAAATAGTATTTCAAATAAATATTAATATTTTAAATTAATTAATTATTGATTAGTAGAAAATCAATATAATTTCTGGTTAAAATTTCATTTATTTTTAAAGTTTTAAAAATAGAAAAAAAGAGTGCATACTAACGAACAATTGTTTTTAAGGTTGCATTTTCCTATTCAATAATTTCAATTATTGCAAATTCTAAATATTAATCATTTTTGTAAATAATTTCAATTTTAATAGATTTTTATATATCAATAATAAAAAACTGCATTATGGAGTACTGCTTTTTAAGATTAAAATAATATATGTTTTTTTGTATATAATAATAGTGTAAAGTTGTAATTTACCTGTGTTGACTGAGGCTAATTTCGTGTCCAAAAGTTTTATTGCAAAGTTCGCAGGCGAAAGGGCGTTTGCCGTTGTGAGAGCGTCTGGCGTGAACCTCGAGTCCGTGAGGGGTGGAAAACATTTTTTCGCATTTTATGCACGAGTAGACGTCTCCGATGGGCACCATTCCGGGTCGCATGAGAAGGTGGTGATGGTGCGGATGGACCCCGGTTGAATTGTTCATGAGGTGTCGAAGTTTGAAAAGCTCCTCAGTGGTCGGGGGAGGCGGATAAGGGTTTTGGGTAGTCGATTGTCCGTTCGCCATTGCCGCAGCCATGGCGCTGAAGTATAGAGACGTGGGATTAGGAAGAAAACGTTCTTCACCTTCCCGCGGCGGATACATGTTCGGTTGAAGGAAACCTGGGTGGAGGAAGTTGCGTGGGAGAAAATTGTTGTAATCCTGCTTCATTTGGGAATCGCGTATTAAGTCGGCGAAAGGTGGGTAGAGATAGGAGCGGGTGACAGAGATGGTTTCCTGATAGCACGGGTCGGTTTTGCTTTTGGGATTGTCGGGACGTAGCAGAGCGCTGACGGAGAAAGTCTCAGATTTTTTCAGCGGCGTCGGAGTTGTTTTGGGGATTTCGGTAATGGAAGGTGGTCTTGGAGATGGGGTATTTGTACGTGAAGGAGGCGGTGAATCGACCTCCAGTTCCGGAGACGTCGTCGGCGATGGCCTAGCAGGTGACGATTCCCACTTTGTTTTCGGAGAATGCTCGTCTCCGCTGTAGCAACTTGTTGTTCCCTCATGATGCAGAAATGTTTTCGTATTGTTGTTCAACGGTTGCTCTTCCTCATCGTCGGATTTCACCAAACGGTTGATGCCGAACTTTATTGCTTCTGGAACAATTAAAGGTGTCTCTTTTAGCGGGATTCAAGCATAAAATATACGAGGGGACTATAAAGACAGTCTGATGATGGATGCTCGCTGCGAGTGGAATGGAATATAAAGCTTAGGGGTGAAGAGGTCATACATCATCGTGTTCCCGCGATTTGTACGTTTCAACGTTACTGAACTTGTCGCAAATACACGGGCTCCGCTTTACTCGACGGGATCTTCTCCTCTGGGAAAGGAGGGAAAGCGCGATACTTCGGTTACGACTTCGCAAACCATCCGCAGACGCATCCGCATTGTAACTCTAATCCCATTTTCCCATTCGGAAAAATAAGCAAAAACGAATGTGTCTACGTCTGTCTAGCGGCGGAAGGAAGGAAGAAAAACAACGTGAGTTTTCAATGTCGCCAGATTGAAACTTGTACACGCAGAGAGCGTAACCAAATGTGCAATGAGCTGTATCATGTCATGCAAAGTGTAAATTGACTGAAACCTCTAGGGTACGCAATCCGGCCCCCTCAATTAGCTCCAACAATGTGTACCCCATCACCCCGGCGACCACGGACGTTAGCGACAATTATTACAATACACCCCGACAAAATAACCCCGGCTCCATCCGTACACACTGCCCATAAAAAAAATCGCTACGAGTACATTTCGGACTGGAATTTCCACTAGCGAGTCTCCCCCTCGAATATATTAAAAAACACTGCGCGAAATCACTATTTGTTAAAGAGACAAATTCTCTTCGCTCTGCCATATTTCAATACGTCTGACAGCCCAAATGTATTTATCATTTCTTCCTATTTTTAACCCTAAACGCTTCTATTAATCATCCTCACCATCAACCATTACTTTACAAACTAGAACCTCTGCAGGTTACAAGCAACATAAATATATTTGAAATACTAATAATATTATTTATTTATCAAAAACAAAATAAATAAATTCATTGAAGACTTTGAATTTTAAAAAAATATTGTGATTAATAAATTCCATAAGAATTCTTAAGGAATTCCATAAATAGTTTTTTAAGAATCAATACTTATAGAGTAGATTCAAATATACATAGTTTTCTATTGTAAATTCGGTCAGTGTAAACAAACAACGGNTTAGTTTAGTTGCGGTTCGCATGCTTTTTGCACCGTATCTTGTGTCATGCAAATCAATCTGAATGTCCGCAATTAAACATTGATTAAAAACCAACAGGTTTTAGTTTAAATGCAACGATAATATTGTTGTTTGCTTTTAATCCGTATGGATTTATTTTATTCGTCGGGATTGGTTGTTGCACAACATGCGTTGGGGTTGGCCGGTTTCAATTGAATTTCTGCTAATAATAATAATATAGCAGGAAAAAAGTGCAACCTAAACTGGTGCTAATACAGTTCGCCTCCGAAACAGATGTCGCCTACACAGAGCCATGAATTATTCAGATCCTGAGCACCCTCCTCCTCTGCATCCCAGTAAATATTACACCCCCATTCTTTATATGTTACGTGTTGGACTAAATGAGCCCGATAGTCCATATTTACTTTAGGGTGGAGCGGAGCTACGAAGCCGTTACCTAATGATTCCTGAATTCGATTCGTGCATGCACAACGTCTCAATTTTCGATATAATTGTCACGTCGGCTCGATGTAATTAATCAAGAACGAACGTAGAATAAAGAGGGAATGAACAAAAAAAAATGGAAGAGAAAAAGAACTCAGTTTTAATTGCTAATCAAATATTTGTCTTGAATTTCCACCGAGCGTTACATTTATTTATATTATTCCCTACGTTTTTCTTTTATTATTTTCTCGCCCTTCTTTTCGGTGGGCAATTTACGTTCCACTTAATTATATTTGTCCTGTCGCTCTCGTTTCTTTACCAATTAAAAATAACACACCAAAAAACTCAAGTGCAAATAACACACGAAATGAATACGGACCTCGCGCTGAATTAAATATGAGGATTCATTTATATTTCTTTTTCTCATCAAGAAAAGAAACACGAAAATAAATTAGGTTAAATGCAAGAGAAGATGAAAATACGTAATACTGAAGTTTTATAATTGCGATGCGTTAGGTGATTTGTTTGGAAGGAAGGATAGTTCCAATTTCTGCTGAAGTAGATAATTGTATCCGATGCTAAAGTGGCGGCACGTGTGTTTTATAAAAGACCCCACATGTAGGGTCATTACGTCATTTCCGAACCGGTATTTGGTTGACCCTTGGAATTAGCCCTGGTAATTAATTGTTTGACTAGTCATACGCGCGCTGTTATATATCAATTTCCACTACTACTACAACCGACACCAATTGTCTTCGATGTTTGCTTTACATGCCAAACTCATTTCCTAAGTGTACTAATAATCATAGAAAGAATAAATATACTATAGAGAAAAAATAAATGGAATACAATTGATAGCTTAATATATCCATTGATTAATGTTTACTTACTAGTTTAATAGTAGATTCATGTGTCTACTTATTGCTTATCACTATAGATATTCTATTAATTATTGACATTTTATTGGATATAAAATCACGGAATTTTAGTTTCATTTTTGTAAAATATAAATTAAATTCGAAATATAATAATACAAAAAAATGAAGTAGATATTACTTGCATTATGTTTGTTATAAAAAAATTTTCTTAAATAATTTGTATAGAAATTTTCTATTAGTTTAGTACTGTTGATTGAAGTTTAATGCCGTAAGAATTATTATTTTATGAATGAAACGTAGTAATATTTAAGGAATGTATTATGTTTAGCTTAAAAATGTTGATTGTTTGATTAAAAATGTATGAGCACATAGTAATTACAAATAATGAAAGTTAATCATTTAACGCGGATGTAACAATCCAGAAAAGGATGAATGAATAATTTGAAGCGTGTAGGAAAAAGGCGATGGGCGAAAGAGCAATTTTCTTTTCGGGTAAAATTGGCCGTGCAAGGATTATGGTCGCGTGTCCATGTAAGTTGGGTACCCTTTGATCCCATCCAATTCCAAACCCATCTGTAGGACTCTTCGGGTCAGAAACTGGGAGGGCGATTGTTCGGAAATTATCATTTCCATTATGTAATTAGAGAAAAGGTCCTAGCGTGTGTCACAAGAAAATCTCATAATGACGGGTCTTCAGACTTTTAGCGAATTTGCATTCGAAATGGGAATGGGAAATGGGTTCCTCGAAGCGCCGCCCTTCACACATACACACACAAGTACATACAAACGTTATCTCCAACATATCGTTGATAAAATATAGATGGCAGATACAAAAACGCCATGCACTGAACAAATAGTTATGGAAACATATAAATCAATTTTAATATGCATATATGTGATACATGTTGTGCATGAGGGTACGTTTTTCCATGGAAAACCCATTTTTTCCACCCCGTTTTGTTTGCGCGCCTGCTTTGTTTGTGCTTCGTAACAGTGAGAATTTTTGATTATTCGTTACTGCACGAAACGGTCAAAGGCAACAATAATAATCGCTCCAGCAATAACGTTTTCCTTGTTATATCACGAATTCGCTCTCGAATCATTGCGACATCTATTTTTCATGCAAAGAAATTCTTGGACGCGGATAAATAAATCAATAAACCGCAATAAAATCGCTGCAGCCAAAATCGAAGATGTATCAAACCGATATAACGCTTTTCTTTTTTTTTGTATGTATGTTGTTCCGCCGTAAACCCACGATAATCCCGTTCAGATAAAATTTATTGCCGTGATTAATTGATTACCGAAAGCCACGTCAAAAGTTTTATTTAAAAAATCTGCGCGCGCGCGCAATCATTTGATGTCACATCGCCATAACTCTATTTTTTTTTATTATTTTTATTATGGGCGAAATTCGATAACGCCTCGATTTGTTATTACTTTTATTTGTGTATTTCCATCCGACTTTATTGCATGGAATTAAATTATTGGGAATATCGCACCGGTCGTAAATAATGCGCCATTTTTATCATGACACGTATTGGAATAATTATCATTATTTTCGTACATTAATTAAATCAAGTTTATTACTTCACGTGGTATATCACGTTGTTCACTTGAAAATTAATTTAATTGTTCTTTTTATCTAGACACCTTAAATATACAAAGAGATTTCTTATAAATTATTACAAAATTATGTAATTTTGATGTTAGGTAATAATTACTTTTTTTTCAAATTATTTAAATTAAATTTGTACGTAAATTGTCGTTGATTTCAAATTTCTCTTCATCTCTTTCGTATACACGTTGTGTGTATACAAATACAATGTTTTTCCAGTTTATTTAATAGTTATCAAATCGGCGTCGATAAAGCCATGTGTACAGAAGAGGTGTGAAGAAAGACAAGGAGGAGAATGCGATGATCACGGTCATTGGATCCAAAAGTGTCGGAGAGAGACAGTTATTTAATTTCGTGAAAAATCAACATAACAAACAATCCGCCGTTTAGATTAAATGTGATTTACAATCCGTGAAGCAATTCATCATGTTGACATCGATATCAGAAATCCCTGCTTTATAGGGCCTTTTATCCAGCCGCTATCACCGCCAACGTCTGGATACCTAATCCTTGCACACACATTCGAAACCTTCTTTCACATTTTTATATCGATACAAAACGCAGCGGTACTAAATGAAAACTTTATACCGAAACTCCCCATACGTGTGTTCCATATGTATTTGCAGCTGATGCTTTATCATCATCACGAAACGTTGATTAATTTACCTATTTTTTTTGTTAATCGCGATCGTCACCAAACATACACACACACAAACACCACGAAATTGTCTTATAGAAATCAGTTGTTGGAATCTAGAACGAAATAAGCCAGAAGAGAAAACAAAGACAAATAAAAAAAAATGTGTATATGAAACACAGGTATAGATAATAATGAAACTGAAGGAAAATAATTCTGAATACTTTATAATATTTGTGGAGCGATGCTAATCTTGCACGGAATGAAGGCAAACAACGCTTCCGGTTTTCTGCTCCCTCCAGACCGCAGGAGTTGCGTAATTCACATCAAGATTGTACGTATGTTGAATTTATGTTCTTATTATTAACAATATTGCTATAATACAGCTTTCGTGACAATCGCTGTTGTTTTCTATTTGTTGTTCTTTAATGGCGCTTTTACATGTCCACTTTTAATCATCAACAATTTAATAGTCAACTTTAACAAGTTATGTTTACTTGTTTTAAAACAATTACTTACCATTTGGCTTTTCCGGAACGATGATGTGGGGCTGTGATAAAGGTGAGATGTATCTTGGACCAGCAGCCAAAACCGGAGATCCCCATAGGTTTCTGCAGTACGATGCGAATCCTGTTGGAGGAAATTGTAAGGGAGAAAGCGGTCTTTCGCCTGCAAAAAAAATAGAAAACGAATTTAGAACAAACATACAGATCGATAATATCTTATTAAATATATAGTAGAATCTTAATAGTTTTCTTACATTTATGTTTCATAAATCAATTTCATTTCATGATATACAAAAATTGAAATTTCCATTAAAATTTTATATAAAATTGAATGAATTAATTAAAATACATTTAGTTTTTCTTTAGATTCTTTTATAAAATTGAAAAATATATATAGAATCATAATTATTAAAACTTAAATTAAAATTATAAAATAGTGTAAAATTTCCTCAAAATAAAATGTTTAAAATATCTTTATTTTGATTTAAAAATTGATTTCATGTTCTTGTCGAAATAATATCAAAAAAAATCTTAATTATAAATACTTATTAATTCTTAACTGTGGAATAAAAATAAAGCGTTTTGGATGTCATAAATCTATTTATAAAGTTGTTTATCAAAGAATGAAGTAAATAAAATAAACACATGTTTAAATGTCATACATGACAGAATGTATTTGTTGTTGTCTTGAATGAGAAGACTGGTTCCTTTTTAAATTCGGTCAAATAAACTGTAAGTAAAGTAAATGGGATATAGATTCAATGAACAAATGGAAGTGAATCACCGAATTTAAAAAACGTTAGAACTAATTAAGGAAATCTCGCGCGGTTCTCTTTGTGAGGACAGAAACCCGGGGACGAAAACGAAAATTTCTTAATGGCGATACGCACCGCCAAAGGATTTATTTAGTCAGCAGAATTTAATGCGTCTGTGTGGGCCACATAATTGGTGGTAATTGGACCGAAAAAATTTTGGAAACGAATGTGCGCCAATGTTTCACATGCATTCGGCGTTTCTTTTTCTCTATTTATTAATATATATTTTTTAATCCTCTTCATCTTGAATCATCGCGTAGGAAGAAGAGCGAGTACATTAGTACTCTCACTATGTGCATGCAGTCTCGGTCCATGTACGAGAAGAGAGGATCGGAAATAACAAATTAATGTACAATTGACTTGAAGCGATTTCGTTTCATTAGCTTCACAACCATGACGTCAACTTAGGCGCCGCATCTGTCTACACCCCAGAGATACATCACCGAATCCAAATATATTTAGGTTTTAATTTTTTTGTTCGAGGTTTTCTTTTTTGATTGAAATCTTGCTTTAACACACAGATTTTTCGTTTCGGGTAATTACTCCTCTCTTTTGAAGCAAAGTTTTTGATTTGATGTGATTGATTGACGCGATTTCTTGTTTTTACTTTTTTTCTCATCAAAGTTGTGTTTGCGTTCATATAGATATATATTTCTGCGGGAAATGGCATTACCTTGAATAATGAATGCATTCTATCTTTATAAATATCGGTTTGTTGAGGGGCGGGTAAAAAAGAAATCTTGCGTAAGAGGATTACCGGTTGGTACGTCTGTCAAGTTATAATGCGGCCGAAGAAGATAATGCTATTAAAGACAACTATCACAACATATTGGTTGGTGCATTATTAATCGGCTGAGGATGTTTGCGATACTCGTCCTTTTATCGTCCTGATACGTCTCATTAATGTTCTTTCTTTTTCTAGTTGGTGGTTGCCACATGTGCGAATCGGAAATGCGTCTTTAGATTTTTACGTGGCTCATATAATGGTAACATGTGGAGGACAATGCGTGGAAACAAGTCGGATTTGTGTCGGAGCATGTGCTTCACAGAAGAGCGACGTTGGTAGAAAAAAAATGGAGCTGGAGGCGAAAGAAATTATGAGATTTAAATTTTTATAAACACACTCGCATACATTACGTACGTCATGGGATATGTAATGTCTTAGCAGGATCAGGTTACATAAGAAAAAAAAAAGTAATCATCGTGTTCTTTCCTTTCTTCCTTCTTTTTTATTCTCGTTTCTCGGTTTCCTTCAGTTGTACACATTGCATGTGGACTGAATAAATACGTCAATTTATTTCTCGCTATGGGAAAATATCGGCGCGCACAACGAAAACGTTAATCCAAACAAACAAATCCCATATTTTTAATAACGCTCTCTTTTTCGGCTCCATAACGTACTTTGTGTGTGTGTATAATTTTTATTTTTATTTTCTCTCTCTCTCTCTCATTTCATTTTTGTGTTCTCCGATAAAATTAATCCGTTGTAATGTAAAAGTGATAAAAGAGATAAAGCAGTTTCGGTCTTTTGGCGGATATAGAAGTGCGCTGGAAATAATTTGATTTCTATATTGGATTCTGTTTGAAGTGAGCCGCAGTGGATTGAGTTTCGCGCCCGGTTCGCGTTAATTGAAATTGACGAAAAAATAATTAGTTTTTGCTTTTCAGGACAAACGTGTCCCGCCCTTCCTCCGATCCTTCGCTCTCTCCCCAACAAAAAAAAACGATGCCCACTCCCCTATCGCATCATTAATATACTCCAAAAGGATCAGAAAAAAATATGTACATTTCTATGTAGTTTACTCATAGCATATAGCCAATAGCGACAATTGAGACAGTTCGAAAACGCCATCGCATACCGTCGAAATTAATAAATTGCAAAATTTATGATTAGATTACATGTTTATTGGAAAATAGCCGCTATATCTAAATCCCCTAAAACCATTCACACGCTAAGTCTAATCAGTTTCAATATGATTTTCAATTTTATATTATAAAAAGCAATGTACAACTGAATCTTGTTTTTCTATTACACGAATCAATTCTTCTACATCGTTTTATTTTGATTTGTATTATAAGATTTGTTCAAAGTTTTAATTGTCTTACATATTACAAAATATAGATTCATTGATTTAAAAGAAATAAATAATACCTTAATGTGTATACTTTACTTCTAAAAAAATCAAGAATATTCTTGGACATAAAGGCAGTAGCACGTTGAAAGATTTACATATCTTATTTGATTTATAAATTAATATTTATTTTGTATATACAATTAATATTCTTTTATATGTTTTTTATATAGAAAAAAAATTGTGACTAGATTAATTATTAATAGAAATTATCAGAAGCGATTAAAAATCTCGAGGACATTAAAAATATCATTATATTATTAACAATTTACTTTCATGTAGATAAACAATAATTGTATATATTTTATCAATATTAAATAAGCGAAAAACAAAATGGTGAAGACTATTATTAATTCAATTCATAAAGCCCTAAATTTGTTTATAAATACAATACACCTAGCATAGTCAATATCCCGGACTGTTTAAAACAAAATAATTTTGTGTATTATTTTTTTTGCTCAACTTAAATTTAGTTTCTTTTCAAACTTGACTAAAGAAAGCCGCCTTATACGAGTACATGGAATAATTTATTTGGAAACATAATCAATACTAATATAATTATATAATTTCTACATTTTGATCAAGTATAATTTGTAATTTTCTATATTTATACAAAACAATAGTCAACACAAAATTAATTATTAATAAAATTTAGTTATTCCAAATATTGATTTATCGATTTAATGATTCATTGACTCAGAAAAGTTACTCATTATTATTTATTCTTTAATACATAAAAAATAACATTGATTGATAAAATAGACATGATTATATAGAAATTATTATGAGGTATTTCAAATCTGGAAAATCATAATCAATACTAACATAATTACTTACATTTTACATTGATTTAGATAAACAACTATCAAATGGAAAGCATACTTCAGAGGATGTAATTTTTCTAAAGTGATTATTATTACCTCGAGTACTTTCAATCAAAACCCGCTTAAAGCATGATTTTGTGATGCCGAAAATCTGTTATCAATAATGTGTCAGGTATTATTTTACTCTCTCATATCAAATGATAAGTGACAATTATGATCACATTATTTATATACGTTAAAATAATGATCTAATTTAACGTTAATCGTCAATTTTTTCAAATTTCTTATTATATGGAAAAATATATACATTATTATTATTACTGGCTTTAATATTTCTACATAATTTGCAATTTATATGATAATAAGTTATTAAAAAAAGCTGAAAACAAAGTCAAAAATTACATAAAATATATTTAAATCGATTGTTTAATTAATTAATAAATATGGTAATGTTTTTCGTTAGTAATTTATTGCGGTACTAAAATATTTTTATTAAAAAAAAGTGGATCAAAAAATATACTTTCTTTGAATATGATGGATAAAAAGATGATCGTAACATTTGCGTATCAAGTATAGATGTTATTTTAAATACATTTCAAATTAGTGTTATCGCCAAATTAAATGTATTTGAAATTATAATCCAATTTATCCGCTTTTCCCGTTCAAGAATGCGGTTTTATTGTTTGTAGGGATTTGGGTGGAATTAACGCGCGGTATTTTATGAAACACGTCTACAATCAAAAAAATAGGAATTATTGCCGTCGATAAAGCGACAATGGGTCGTAAAATGACTTTTGATTCTTTTGATCGGTTTAATTGATTCTATGATTTCGATTCGCTTTACCTTCTCTTCCCTTCGGCGTGACAATTCGGAACGCGCTGCTACCCGGCGGACTGGAAGGTGCAGAATCTGCTTGATGATGGTTCACGGGACTTCCGGAGTTTCCGCGGATTGCACCACTGCTAAAGTCCAAAGGCATAGGATTGTGCGAACTGAGTTCCATGGCCATCGTTGACCACTCAGGTTGGACTCTTCGAATCGGATTGTTCTTGCTCTTTTGCACACGCACTGTCGATAATGTTTAGCACTTTCAACGATACAACATAGTTTAAGATTGTCTTCGTGTAGATCTGATGTTGTGGATGTTGTTGTTGTTTTTTCCCGTACCAAAGGGGATGACGCGTCCAAACGAAACTTCGTGTGGAGGACGACTGTTCCATCAGCAAGTGTTTGGGACGATATCCCGGTCTGTTATTGAGATAAGCCACGCCTCCTAGCAAACGATTATCGCCCTTACTCCCTCCTACATTTGTAGGAAAAGGCGTGGTCTTGAAACAAAAGGGGCGGTCCCAGCCGCAAAACATACCGACATAAATTTAATTCATCACCAATTTCTTCTCCACCAGTTTCAATTCCAATAGCAAAACTTTCGACAGTTTTTAACCAACAACATCATCAAATACATAAATTAATTTAAACCATCAACTAAATCAATTGATTTCCAAATAATTTATTCAACTCAACGAATTATTATATTCAATTTTTTAATCCGAAATTACAAATGCGTACATCGCTACGTTTTTCTGTTTGTACGCAAAGGAAATTGCAATTTTCGTTCCGTCGGAAAATTCTTGATGTGAAGAAAATCGTCGATTGATTATCATTCGCGGCGCTGAAAGGTGGGGGATGCGAGGCGCGCATCTGATTGGCTGCAATTGTGGACTTCCCTCGCTGGAAATCGGAGAGCTTTTCCAAAGCGCTGTAGTCGCATTTTTCCGCTTATCCAGGATTGTTTTGTGCTCCGCGCCTTTTTCCCCCCCGCGCGACATACCCGAACACATCCAATTTTTTTCCAATTCCAGCTACGACACAGGAAAAAAAAACAAGTGCGCAACTATTTGCACTTACTTTTTCTCTCTCTCTATCTCGTTCGTTGCTCCAACAAAATTGAGAGAATTTTAATTAAGAAACTTTTTTAATTCAAATTTGAAATAAATTGCACTTTTCCAATTATCACAACGTATTTGTTTGTTATTGAAAGCAAATATAGATTTTTTTTCTATTTATATATTTAATTTAAATTATAATACAATTACTATTTTTGTTTTATTATTATTAAGATTATAGTTAGATATATTTATAAGAAATTAACTATTTTTTTGTTAATCTAAACAAATGACAATCTATATTGTATAACAAAAATATACATACAATAATGACTATTTTTAAAAATAATTCTTAAATTATTTCAATTCATTAATTAAAATGTTTATACTTACATTTACGAATAATCAAAAATAAAACTAAATGCTTGTGTCCGTGTATGCATTAATAAATCTAGAAAATATTAATCACGCATATGAACTAATTGATTACAGGAAAAAATTGATTGTTGTTGTCCCCCGTGGATTTGGAGAAAAAAAATGTGTGTTGTAATTTTACAGTTGTTTGAACATATGGCAGTGTGACAAATGAAATTATCGTTTTTATTAGTTTTCTGCGCGCCAGAATATATACACACGTACACATATATAGTTTTTTTTCTGTTATGTGTTGTTTTGATCATACAGTGATGAATATGAATTCCAATAACAACGGACTAATAACAGCACGTAATTAAAGGTATTGCAGCGATTATGTATGCAAATAATATTATGCGATAATCTCTTTAATTATTTTTAATTGAAGGGGATAAAATACTCTGCGATTTCGATTGTTATTCCCAAAGTTTCATTTAGTTTTATAAATAATCTTGTTTATATAATTCACATAATTAAGAAAATTTATTGAAAATAAATTCTCCAATAAACGAGATTTTTAGTTAAAAAAAAAATTATTAGTTTATTTATACAAACTATACAAATATTTCCTTTCTTTGAAAATATAGTTTATATATCTTTATACCTTTTGTTTTTAAAGAAATTTTTTGATTGATGCTTGGATAGTTTATAACGAAAAATTATAATTCTTGCGTTTTGTTAAAATATTTCTCAATAATATAGTTATTTACCAAAATTCATTGACAAGAAATTACTTCGATCTTATATCTCAAGAGTGCAATAATGATGCTATCTAATCAATGACAACCTAATCTAATCTTAACACATGCCAAAATAACTTGATGCAAAAATTATGGTAAAGATTTAGTGGTATCATTACACTTTAAATAATTATTATATATTTTAATCTTAATGATAATAAATTTATTCTATTACAATTTGTTACTAATTGTTAAAGCAAGACAATTAAAATATAGATTATGAAAAAAGAACGAATTGACACCACCAAAAAGAGATTTAAAATTAAATAAAATTGTAATATGGAAACTTTTTGTAATATGTTTTTTTTAATAAATTTTAATATTCAATATCTGCTAGCACTAGTGTTCATATAGATGTTATATTTTTAAATTCTTCAAGTAAATGTAATGTAAATTTTATTATTTTTAATATATAATTACTTCTTACTAAAAAAATATATAATATCTGAAAATGAAGGTAGTTAAAAATTAAAGTTATAAGAAATAAAAAAACATTAACATTGTGGA